GTGTGTGTGTGTGTGTGTGTGTGTGTGTGTGTGTGTGTCTGCCCCCCCCTCTCTGCCTCGGTCTCTCTCCCCATCCCCTACACACACAGTCTGGTGTAGTGCACTGGAGAAGTGGAGACAAGCAGATCCCTGGGGCTGACTAGCCAGCCAGCCAGCCTAGCCTCACTGGCAAACCCCAGGCCAGTTAGAGACCCTATCTCAAAACAAAAATAACAACAAAAGTAGATTGATCCTGGGAAATGACACCCAAGGATGTCCTGGCTTCCACATGTGGAGACATGTGTATAAGCGTACCTCCTTATGTCTGCCTCCCCACCGCCTCCGCCCCCCACAAAAAAAGCAGTAGCTGAGGCTGAAAAATGTAGTTTGGGGGTAGAATATCTACTTAGCATCCCCAACACCACACACACAAAATGAGGTTCTTGGATATAGTAGCTGTCAGTGTAAAGCAAGGTTTGTTGAACCTTGCTACATAGTCATCCTCTACCTTCCTTTTGAATTCTCTTCCTTTTGAGGAGCCTGATGACACGCTCCCCTGAGCCGTCCATTGTGAGCAGACAACAGAGTCCCGTCCCTTTGGGAGTTCATGCATTTCTGTTACCCAAGTATTCTAACAGATTGTTCCATCGGATATCTCCAATCCATTTTCTGTTTGGATCACAGGTATTGGCGGAACTCAAAGAGTATGCTACAGAAGTAGATGTGGATTTTGTACGGAAGGCAGTGCGTGCCATCGGTCGCTGTGCCATCAAGGTGGAGGTGAATAGGTTCTGGGATTCCATTCCTAGCCAGGGAGGGAGAAGGTTGTTGAAAACAGAAAGCCAGTCTGATCCTAGAAGCTGTTTATGGTTCAGGAAGTCCAAGGGTCACCAACAGGGCCTCCAAGGTACCCACTACACAGAATTACATTGGCTCTTTTTCACTTCAGGCTCTTGAGTTGTAACAGGTGAAATGATGCCCCTGTAATGATGGTTCTTAATGATGGTTCTCCTACAGCATTATCTAAGGCCACAGGACAGCCACCAGCTCATGGAGTTCCTGTTAGACTTACCACAGAGATCTGCGGCAGGACCTCTGCCTGATAGATACTTCAGAAGATACCTTGATTGAGCTACTGGGCTGCTTCTTCTGACCTACTAAATCACTCTAAACCCAGTGCCCTGACATTTCATTCTCTCCACTCTGCCTGGGGAGCTATTCCTTGACATTGACCTGTACACAGTGGGTCTGCTGGTGGCTTAAGGACCCTGGGATAGCTGGTCATACCCACTCAGGACCCTGAAAACAGCATCTTAAGCTGTTTTCCCCTTGATTTTTATTATTGCTCTCCTGAGACATCTGCCCCTTCGGGCTATTATATAGTATGTAGAAATAAAAGCAAAAGACTAGGTACAGAAACTTTGTAGGTCTAGCCATTGCAGCCAATTTTATGAAACAAGCCAGAGAGATGGGGCCAAATAGGGTCACTCAGCCCTTTGCCTGGAGGAACTCCCAATGACCTCACACTTTCAAGAGCTACACCTCTGGCTGTCTTGTGTTCTCATTCTATCTGTATGTCCTTTTCATCCAGGGCCCTCATTTGGCCCTTGTCCTCTGCCTCCCCATTGTCAAGGGAAAGAGATCTGTTTTCATGCTATAATAAAGAAGGTGGGCAATGGGTCTGAAGCTGCTTGACTGCAGCAGGATCATTAGCCCAATTGGAAACTGTGTGCAGAGACCTTGCCTACACTGCCTCTTCTTCCCACACAGCAATCTGCAGAGCGCTGTGTGAGCACATTGCTTGATCTCATCCAGACCAAGGTCAACTATGTAGTCCAGGAAGCCATTGTGGTCATTAAGGACATCTTCCGCAAGTACCCCAACAAGTAGGTGCCCACCCCGCATGGGAAGAGAGCAGCTCGGCTTCCTCTTCCTCCTTTCCCTTTCTTCCCATTTCATAGCTTTCTCAGAAGAAACTTTTTGTCTTTTTTGTTCTTTTACCCAAGCTGGCCCTCCAGGCCAAAATAAGATCAGCTAAACTCCAGCTAAACACCCCCTGTCTTCACCATCTCTCCGGGTCTGGGCAGCTGCCTATCTGACTTGGCCCTTAACCCTCCACCACACACATTGGCCAAAATTCCTTGGTGCTTACCTGCTGGCTCAATCCTGCTTTCCTAGGTATGAGAGCGTGATAGCCACACTGTGTGAGAACCTAGACTCCCTGGATGAGCCTGAGGCCCGGGCTGCTATGATCTGGATAGTGGGCGAGTATGCTGAGCGGATTGACAATGCAGATGAGCTGCTGGAGAGCTTCCTTGAAGGTTTTCATGATGAGAGCACCCAGGTGAGCCTTCATGTGAGCACACCCATCACTGATTGCCTAGCCCAATTCTGGCCTGTTCCACCCCTATATCCTTCCTTCCTCCCTCCGATTGCATTGCCACTGTGTATAGACATTAATTGACAGGCTCTGTGTGGCCCCTTTTTCTCCCCCACAGCAGTGCCTCAGAAGACATAGGACAGTCTGTGGTGTGTGTGGAAGTTGGTCAGAAGTTTCTGGCTTTGTTTTGATTTCATATTTATCTTTTGGTAGTACATTGACATGGTTCCAAATAGAAATACTCCTGGGACTATATAATGAAAATTCTTCCTCTAACTGCTTTCAAAGTGGCCATAGTTCTCCCAGTTACTAGCATACTTAAGTTTCTTGGTCATTAGAGATTATAGGAATGGTCCACTAGATGTTCATGCAGACATTTGAGCCAGTTCTATTGTTCTTGGCATTTGTGTTTTATAACCACCACATTTCCTGAATAAGTACTGAGCTAGCACTTCCAGGAGAGGGGAAAAGTTAGATCTATGACATCTAGACACATTTTTATCAGTTGGTCAACATGTAACCTTTACCGTTGATTCATTAGCATTGAACTCAGTGGCCAACAACACTGACTTATGCCTGACTGATTTATCTAGCATGTATATTTCTCCACAGAGAACATTTCTAGAGCCTTCTAGACAAGCACTATAACACTATACTTGGGAGCCATTTTAAATGAGAAGAAGGATACATTTTTTACAGAATGAGAGCTGAAATGAAGGGTAGAATCAGCCTTGCCTTGTCCCAGCCTCAGCTTGGAAGTATTCATCAGCTGATTTAGGTTTCCATTGCTCAGCCTTTATCTACAGATGACCACTTAAGCCCTGTGAATATTGATTTTCAGGGGCAACAAGTGGCAGATTTACAAACATGGAAGCAGGGTGTGACGGTGTACACATGTAATCCCAGCATTTGTGAGGCAATTTTATCGGGTGTTGGTGGTCATCCTTGGCTATATAAAGACTTTGAATCCAGCCTGGGCTACATGAGACCTTGTCAATAAAAACAAGGCTGGTGAAATGGCTCAATGGGTAAAGGCACCTGCCACCAAGCCTAACAGCTTGAGTTCAGTCATAGGAACCATCTGGTCGTAGGAGAGAACCAACTCCTGCAAGTTGTCCTCTATCTTCCACCATGTCTCAATGGCATACATACCTCGCACACACATGAATAAATAGTAAACAGTTGTAATAAAAATACGCCAAGTGTTTAAAAAGCATGGTATTACAAATGAAGAGAAGTGGTGTGTGTCTGTGTCTGTGTCTGTTTCCTTCTCACTTAAATGCTATAGTAGTCCACTATGCAACTTCAGATTGCTTAGAACCTTGCCTTCTCCCCTTAGGGTAATTCTGAAGGCATGTCTTTGTTAATGTATGCTTTATTATTTAAGTCCATTGGACGTTTGTGTGTCTAGTCTGTTCTTGTGAGCGGGCTGCTGTGGCTAGGTGACATGGCGTAGAATTGTGAATATTTCAGGGAGGAAGCCTTACGCAGATAGCTTGGAAAGAAGGGATTGTGCCCTTGAAATCTGGGTAACTCTTGCCTGATTTCATTTGGCAGAATGGTTGTCTTTATTTGACCTCCCATCTCAGATGGTACTGTCCTGCCTCTTGTACTTGATTTGAACAGCTCAGAAGGTAATGGGTATAGTTTTGTCTGCATCTCTTTATTGTTGTTCCTTTTGCTGTGAATTAGGAAATGTCTTCTGCCCAGTGCCAGCAGTGTAACCTAGTGAGTCCAAACATGGGCCATGGAATCATAAACCCCAGAGCCCATACCTCTCATCTGCCTCACCCTTGCTTAATAATTTTATGCTCATCGTTAACATATTTCTAGTCCATAGTAAGTACTCATCAGTGATAGTATTGACCTGGGTCAGAATTTGATTTAAAAGTGAAGTGGCCCAGGAAAAAGCAGGGCCTGCTAGTTCCCGTAGCTGACACTTCTAAACAGCACACTCCCTCCCCATACTCTTGCCTTGGAGTGTTAGGGCTATCTCTGCCACCCTAAGTGGCTTCTGCCTTGGTCACATTCCCATGAGCAGGAACTACAATTAGGCAACAGTTTAGACTCTGTCCTTATAGTTTAACTACTACCATGGACAAAGAGAACTTCTACCTCAGCAGTTCAACAAAAGTCCCAAGATCTGTGTTTTGTGGAGCCATTTACCAAGACTCATGGGCCTGGTGTTCATCCTAGCCTGTATGGGTCGAAAGAGACAAAATGGCAGTTCCCTGAAGGAAAGCCAGCAGAGTGGGTGCTAAGTGAACAAGAACACCAGATGTCCATAGCAGAGTCCTAGCATTGATTCTCATTACCGCTTGCCCTCCCACTGCCACCCGCCTGCACTGCCCACTCCCTCCATGTAGCTTCACTTTTAACATCAGCCGCTCATCTGTGGCTCCCCAGAAGCCAAGCCTTGCCTGTACTGTGTCTGCTTCTATGGAGGATTGCCTGGGCAGGGGGGTAAGTTGCCAGATATTTGGGTTAAGTCTTGTAGCCTCTTCAGCCACAGAAATAAACCTGCTAAAGAGCCAGGGACTAGAGAAGTCAGAAGGAAAAGCTGAGTCAGGAATCTATAGGGACGAAAACAGCCCTGAAGATCTGAACTCAGGTTTCCTGTGTTCCTTAAATTTACCAAGTCGTCAAAAGGGGATGGTGGTGCACAGCTTCACAAGGATTATTTACATTGTTGTCTGCTTGACTCTTGCAGTTAACCATATGAGTTATACCCATTTTACAAATGAGGAAACTAACTCAGGTCAGGTAACTTTAATGACTGTTGGTAAATGATAGAGTCAGAGTTCAGATGAGGTGTGATCTTACTCTAGCTCCAAATCAAGTGCTGTAGGTTTGCAAAGCTCTTAAGACACCAACTCCCACCTGAAGTGGGTCATGCCTTTTTCTTTTTCTTTTTTTTCTTCCTCCTCCTCCTCCTCCTTCTCTCTCTCTCTCTCTCTCTCTCTCTCTCTCTCTCTCTCTCTCTCTCTCTCTCTCTCTCTCTGTGTGTGTGTGTGTGTGTGTGTGTGTGTAAACCGATAAATCTTCCCACCAGCCGCCCAAGTTCCGCTCACCGTGTTAGGGCCCCAAGTAACACACAGAGACTTATATTAGGTACAGTGCTGCTGGCCAATGACTAAGATTTTTTATTTGCCAGCTCTGTCTTAAGTATCACCCATAACTGTTAATCTATATATTTTATAAACTTATCTTATTGAGGATGCCGGCAGAATGTGTCCTGTCTTCCTGGCGGTCACATGGTGACGCCGCTTTCCTACATTTCCCAGAATCCTCCTTCTCTCTTAGTCCCGCCTCACTTGCTCCCCTATTGGCCAACAGGGCTTTATTTATCAACCAATAAGACAAACATATACTCAGAAGGACCTCCCCCATCATGTGTGTGTGTGTGTGTGTTTATGTGCATTGGTGTTTTGTACTCATTTTTGTCTGTGTGAGTGTCTGATCTTGGAGTTACAGACAGTTGTGAGCTGCTGTCTTGTGGGTGCTAAGAATTGAACCCAGGTACTCTGGAAGAGAAGCCAGTGCTCTTAACCGCTGAGCCATCTATCTCTCCAGCCCCTTTGTGCTTTTTCAAAGGGTGCTTTTGTAACAAGGTTTCCATACATCTTGGGCTGGCCTCCCTCTTGCTAGGTAGCTGAGGATGACCTTGAATTTCTGGTCCTTCTGCTTCCACTCTCCAGGACTGGGATTGCAGTTATGAACCACCATCCCCTGACCAAAGGTGAATGAATGACTAGAGCCAGATGTGGAAGTCACATTCTGGGCTTACTCCTGCCTTGGAAATAGTCAGCTGCTGCTCCTTTTCCACTGACCCATATACAAGCAGATGTCAAGGGGCTGTGGATGACTCATTCCCAGAAGAAGCCTCCTTTGTTTTGTTTTCTTTTTTTAAATGGGGTTGCAGGGTGTATTAAAGTACTAGAGTAGAGATCAAATACAGCTTCTGGAAATTAGTTCTCTCTCCACCATGTGAGTCCCAGGGATTGAACTCACATCATCAGCCTTAACAGCATGTATCTTTACCCACAGCAATTTTCACTGGCCCATCCTCTCCATTCTTATTCCTGTTGTCAGACTACCCTGCAAGCTAGGATGATGAAGCCATGCATTTCAGTGCATACCATCCTACTGAACAAGCAAGAGTTAGCTACTAGTACTGTGGCTACTGAGCTGCCTGGGCCATTGCTCCCACCTTCCCCAAAAGACCTGTTCTAGGCTGGGAGGGGAAAAAAAAAAAAAAAGGATTTTGGCTTCTGAAGGACCAAATACATGGCCTTGTGTGCAGTTTTTTCAACTATCATGTATTTCTTTCTTTCTCTCTTTCGTCTTCCTTTTTCTTTTCTTTCTTCCCTCCCTCCTTTATCCCTCCCTACCTCCTTCCCTCTTTCTTCCTCTCTCCTCTTTCTCTTCTCTCTCTCCCCCTTCCCCCCCTCAGGATTTCTCTGTATAGAGCCTCAGCAACTCACAGAGATCTACCTACCTCTGCCTTCCTAGTGCTGAGATCAAAAGTGTGTACCACCACCTGTTGGTGATCATCTGATCATCATGGGTTTCTTAAGCACCTGATGTTCCCTAGGCAGTAGCCTAAGCAGTATAGGGTCACACAGTGAGCTAGACAGACCCTATCCCCATCCATCAAAAGCTCATGGTCAGCTCAGTGTGGTGGTGCATGCCTTTAATCTCAGCACTTGGGAGGCAGAGACAGACAAGATCCCTGTCCGTTCCAAGCTAGCTTGGTCTACATAATGAGATCCAGGACAGCCAGAGCTACATAATGAGATCTGACTTTAAAAACAAAAAAGAAGCCAGGCAGTGGTGGCTCACGCCTGTAATCCCAGCACTTGGGAGGCAGAGGCAGATGGATCTCTGTGAGTTCGAGACCAGCCTGGTCTACATAATGAGATCCAGGACAGCCTCCAAAGCCACAGAGAAACCCTGTCTCAAAAAAAAAAAAGAAAGAAAGAAAGAAAGAAAAAGAAAAAGCTTACAGCCATAGCTGATGACACTAATGGGGGAGTAGAGGAGATTATGGAAGTATGGGGCTGGGGTCAGCATGAGGACTACAGTGAGGAGTGTCAGCAAGGCTGAGTATATCCTGATGAAATGAGATGGAGGGGTCAGGAATGCTTGCTACTTTCTGATAGCCATGTATTTCCTCGGTGGCAGGCTAGCTCTGAGGAGCCCTGCTGGCCTGTCCTCTGACTCTCTGTGGTACCATCAACAGCTTTAAGGAGTATACTAGTCACATGTGTTGCCTTTTGAAGCTCTGAACCTCTTTTGGAGCTACAGACTTGAAGCTCTTACAGGCATCTGGGAGCCCAGCTGAGCCCTTCCTACCAGATAGTACCATGCCCCACTCCAGATCCAAGTTCCTCAGCAGAAGCCCCAAGACTACAAGAGCTGTTCTTGATTTCCGGCTGTTCTTAGACCCACCAAGCTTCCTTTGTTGTGCACCCCACCCTCGTTGCCTTGTCCCCTGCAGGTCCAGCTACAGCTACTGACAGCCATTGTGAAGCTCTTCCTGAAGAAGCCAACAGAGACTCAGGAGCTGGTGCAACAGGTCCTCAGTTTGGCCACTCAGGTAGTTTCCCCACCTCCCCTGCTGCTCCCCACATTGAAGTCTTCCCCTTAACCAAGGGTAGCATCTGTGGGAATTGATGCCAGAGTAGATGACATCCTGACTTCTGGGAGTCAGATTCACAGATAGATCCACATAGGGTGGCGTCACCAGGGGAAATTGAAGGGGATATGGGAAAGCCAAAGGTTTGCTGGAAGGTTCACAGAGGTAGGGATGGGAGACCTGGACTAGGAAACTAAGGAGCCCCAGCTGAAAGTTGAGGGACTAGGATATGTCTCTAAAGTGGTTATGTTTAGAATTGTTGGTTGAGACAGGAAGCTGTACACATTTTTACCCTGCACTTGGAAGGCAGAGGTAGGAAGTTCTCTGTGAGTTCAGGCCCAGATTTTGAGTTCCAGGACAGCCAGGGCTCCACAGAGAAACCCTCTCTCAAAAAAAAAAAAAAAAAAAAAAAATTCAAAAAGAAAAAAACAAAACCAAGCAAACACAATTGTTAGATGCTAAGGCTGGTCTGTGGGAGGGCCCCCTTCTCTCACTGGGTAAGAGTTACATGGGTGTCTCCATCTCCACCCCGTAAGGACTCAGACAACCCAGACCTTCGGGATCGTGGCTACATCTACTGGCGCCTGCTCTCCACCGACCCTGTGGCTGCCAAAGAGGTGGTGCTGGCTGAGAAGCCCCTCATCTCAGAGGAAACAGACCTTATTGAGCCTACACTACTAGATGAGCTCATCTGCTACATTGGCACACTGGCTTCTGTCTACCACAAGCCACCCAGTGCCTTTGTGGAGGGTGGTCGAGGAGTGGTGCATAAGAGCCTGCCACCCCGCACTGCCTCGTGAGTACAGCTGGCCCCCAAGCATGAAGGCCTTAGAAAATGGCCCCTGGAAAGGCCTTAGTTTAAGCAAACTAGAATCCTAGCCACCTTCTGCCAATGCTAAGTGTCCTATATACTGGGAGCGCCCATTTAATCCTCTGAGTTCTTGAACAAAGTGTCCATTTAACAGATGAGGATAGTGGGTTTGGAGAGTGCGGACAGTCCAGGACTCCACAGCTAGCAGAGCTGACTTCTAGTTCCAAAGACCTGTTCCCACCACCTCTGTTGCTCCCGGGTAGCTGGTTTGGCCCAATGACAGTCTTGGAGGCTGGCATCTAGTTTCCTCTTTAGCACGGCCAGAATATATACAGCTGGCTCACCACATGGCGAGCTTAAAAAGTAGGTGGGACTAGGGAGGCAGAGAGACAAGCCATATAGATGCCCATCCCCCACCTCCATCCCCAGACAGTGAGGTGACCCAGTGCCTTCTTAGGGAAGGATTTTGGAGATGAATGTCTCTTTACTTTCCCTGAAACACTCTGATACCTCCACCCCATCTAACCCTTTCTGTCCAGCAGGAGCGAGAGCACAGAGAGCCCTGAGACAGCCCCTGCTGGAGCACCTTCTGGTGATCAGCCTGATGTCATCCCTGCCCAGGGTGACCTGTTAGGTGACCTCCTCAACCTGGACCTTGGGCCTCCAGTGAGCGCCCCACCTTTAGCTGCCTCCTCAGTGCAAATGGGAGCTGTGGACCTTCTTGGTGGTGGCCTCGACAGCCTGGTATGTCTTAGGTCTCCCAGGTGATGTTACTAATGATCTCAGATGAGCAGGTTTTGATGCCCCTCTGTGTTATCATCAGCCAAGACAGGTGTGTGGAATGTTCATTCTACCCTCAGTGGTGATTGGGTAGCTCCATGCTCGGTCACCTGCATCCTGTTAGAATGTTCCTAGCTTTGAGGAACCAGGCCTTTGTCCACTTACACTCAGGCCACACCACCTAGGGAGAGCAGCCCAGCCAGACTTCCATGGAAGGTCAGGGTGAAATCTCCTCTGCCCTTTGAAAGCAGTGTGGTAAGCCTGGCCCAGGGTCTCTCTGCCCTTCCTTGGGTACCTAAGTGGTGCTGGGTAGAGGCAGCTGCTGAACCTTTCCCTTAGTGTCAGTAGTCTAGCCATGAGAGATCCTACAACACAGGGTGTGAGGGTGCCAGGCTAAAGCCATAAGGAAGGGTAGTATCTTTCAAAAGGTTGGGGCTCTGGGCCTCAGAACATACTCATCCTGACTAGAGCCACAGTTAACTAACCTTTCTCTTTCTCTTGTCTCATGTTCTTTCCTGGCCTTTCTCTCTGCATGTCGCTGCCTGTCTCTTCACCCTGCCTGCTTCTGCTTGGAGATGGGGGATGAGCCTGAAGGGGTACGGTTCAACCCTCTGTCACCAATTCTTCATCTGTACTGAGCCTCGGCTGGTGGCCCAGTGTCTGGGCAGTCTCTACTTTGACCTCCTGGCATGCAGTTGCCACTGGCCCCATGCCCACAAGTTTTTCAGTGTCCTTACCACCCCATGGCAATGATGCCTTGTCATCCTAAGGACTACTGTCCCTCAGCCCGTGAGCTTTCCTAGAGGAGAGCCCCTCTATGCTTAGCTCCCTGCTACTACCAGTGGACATTGGCCCCCGTCTTAGGGAATGAGTCCTCTCCCAGAGGTTACTCCTTGAGATTCAAAGCTCATGAGACTCAGGAGTGCTTAGCCTCTCTTCTCCACCTACCTTACTTTGTCTTATTTCTGCAACTTAAAGTTGATGTGGAGGTGGTCCTGTTCCTACTCCACGGGCCCCTAATGCCCCTGCCTTTCTTGCATGTCTCTTCTGATCTCTTTGCCAGATTGGAGACAGCAACTTTGGGGCACCTCCAGCAGCAGTGACAACAGCAGCAGCACCAGCCAGACTTGGAGCACCCGTCAGCAGTGGCTTAAGTGATCTCTTTGACCTGACCAGTGGTGTGGGCACCCTTTCAGGATCCTATGTAGCTCCCAAAACAGTAAGTGCCTCACTTTTCTCCTGGCAGGAACAGAGAAGGGGAACTGAATTGGGATTGGTAAGGCCTCCCACTGAACTCAGTACCATGGAGATGGTTGATGAGTCTTTCATTCTTACTGTGCCCTAGCTAAGGTCTTATGTTCTGACAGCCTCTGCTTTGACCTGTCTATGACAGCAATGCCTTGTCTAGTTGGCACAGTGAGCATTTGTTGAGCAAAGATGGGTAATGCACCACAGGCTGTTGCCTGTGGAAGAAGGCCTAGAGGGAAGGGAATACCTTGTCAGAGTACCGGTTCTTGGTACTATTAGATCCAGTGTATTAGACACAGAGAACTTCTTTTTTTTTATAATTATTTATTTATTGTGAATACAGTGTTCTGCATGTTGCCTGCATGCCAGAAAAGAGTACCAGATCTCATTATAGATGGCTGTGAGCTACCATGTGGTTGCTGGGAATTGAACTCGGGTCCTCTGCAAGAGCAGCCAGTGCTCTTAACCTCTGAGCCATCTCTCCAGTCCCCACAGGGAACTTCTTGTCTCTGAAGAAAACTGATGGCTCTACACAGAATGGAAATTAAAAAATAACCACATGCCGGGTGGTGGTGCTACTTGCCTTTAATCTCAGCACTCTTGAGAGGCAGAGGCCAGCCTGGTCTGCATAGCTAGTTCCAGGATAGCTAGGGCTGTTACACAGAGAAACCCTGTCTCAAAAAATAAATAAATAAATAAATAAATAAATAAATAAATAAATAAATACCACATGTCTCCATCAGTATATGAAGAAGACAAAAGGAGAAAAATCTGCCCTAGAAGACATTGTGACAGGACAGGCATGGGTGACATTAGTTCAGCACGAGGGTGTGTACTGGTAATTTCTGAAGAGACAACTGACTCTCAATAAAGTTCTCAACACAACAAGTGCTGGGTGTGCTGATGCAAGCCTCTAATGTCGGCATTAGGGAAGTAGAGGCAAGAGGATCAAGAGTTCAATGTCACTAGGGATTGTGGCGCAGACCTTTAGTCCCAGCACTTTGGTGGCAGAGACAGGCAGATTTCTGTGAGTTCCAGGCCAAATAGAGCTATATAGTAAAATCCTGTTTCCAAGGGAGGGGCAGCAGCTATAGTAGCATTCCTTTAATGTCAGCACTCAGGAAGCAGAGGCAAATGGATCTCTGTGAGTTCAAGGCCATAGAGTTCCAACATAGAGTTCCAGGACAGCCAGGGCTACGTAATAAACAGACCCTATCAAAAAAAGAAAAAAGAAAAACACAAAACATGCTCCCCATGAGTTAGTCTTGGGAACGTCTGTTTATTTATTTCTGTGTGTGTAAAGTATTCAGAGAAGACTCCAGGGATGTAAGAGAGTTAAAAGTTGTTCATGGCAGAATGCTCAGCATTCCCATCTCCCGTCCCTAAAACATAGTAGTTTTAGGACACCCCCCTTACCTCATCATGCTTCTTGGAGAATGGCCTACAAGTACCCAATGTGCTCCTGAGGGTGTCGTCACCCACCAAGACATTTTGTTAGACTAGAGATTCTTGAGGTAAAAGGCTAAGCCAGGCTAAGTCTTGCACATGACTTGCTCATAACTCTCCGTGCTAGCCATTGGAGAGTTCTAAACTGAATGATGAAATACTTTGATTTGAGCTTTGGCCCTAAGGAAGGTGTGGATGGAGTTGCATAGAGCCCAAAGGAGATTATCAGGGTGCTCCTCGAAGCCTAGACACCAACAACTTTGGAAGCACAGAGAGAGACTGTGAAGTGAGAACTTTCTCAGCGGTAGGAATAGGAGCATATTGAAGGGGCTGAACAAGGAGACAATAGGTACTGAGGTGGAGCCATTGGAGGATGGGTGAGAACAGCTAAGTTTGGCGTGTAAATGTTTGTGCCTGGGACTTTGAGGAGCACAGTGTGAGTCATTTTAACCTGTGTCAGGGAAGCTCCTCAAGGATATATATAGCCTAATCCTTTAACAACACAAGTCAGAGGCCATGTCTGCTGAACCGTCATCTTCTGAGGTTCCTACCTCAGAAGCTTCAGGACCCACCCGTAGAGGTCTTTGGTGATAAGGGTGTAAGCAGCACCTGTGTTTCTCTGACCTGGCTTCTCCTACAGAGGTGGCAGCTAGGGCCCCAGGCAGTCTCTGACAGGCTTGGGCTGAGAAGTCCACATGATAGCAGCTCTTCTGCCTGCAATAGCAGGCTTGATGCCAGGCACGCACCAGCCTTCCACAGCAGCAGCCTACTGGGTCCTCCTACAGCCATATGTTGCTGTTATTCATTTTATGGTTGAGAAACTTGAATGCTTTTGCATGTGGCCACATAGCTGGTAAGTGACAGAATATGGAATTAAATGTAATGCAGTGACACTGTAGTTTAATCTTCAACTTCTATGTCATTGTGCTACAAAGTAAGAACACTTGTGTGTCTTCCATTTTTGAGACAGGGTCTCGCTATGAAGTCCCATGCTGGCCTTGATCTTGTGGCAATTCTCCTGCCTCAGTCTCCAGGGGGCTGGGATTGTAGGGTTGCAGACATGAGCCATCATGCCTAGCTATATACTCTCTAAGGTCACAAGTCACAGTCAATAGGACCAGAGAGTACAGGGTGTGATATAAACCACATTTAGTTGCCTACTACACAGGTTGTTGACAGTGACTGCCAGGACAAACCATACCCATTAAAAGCCTAACAACAGCCAGGCATTGGTGGCACAACGCCTTTAATCCCAGTACTTGAGGGGCAGAGGTAGGCAGATCTTTGTGAGTTCGAGGCCAGCCTAGTCTACAGAGCAAGTTCCAGGACAGGCTCCAAAACTACACAGAGAAACCGTGTCTCATAAAACAAACAAAAAAAAACCAAAAACAATTAATAAATTTTAAAAATTGGTCAGTAGGGCACAGTGTAGCAGGCTTTTTCTTTGGGGCCATCAACCAGCTCCCATATCATGACACAAAGACTTATTATCAGTTATGAATGCTTGGCTTTATCTTATGCTTGTCCCATTAGCTCTTATAACTGAACCTATTTCATCTACATTTTGCCTCAGGGTTTTTAACCTTTCTTTCCTTCTATATATCTTATTTTCACTGCTTTTCTTGTCTGGCTGGCTGGTGGCTGCCTGGCTGCTGGCTCTGGGTATGTCCCTCTTTTTCTCCCTCATTCTCCTTCTCTCCTCTTTTGCCTAGATTTCTCTCCTACTTATCCTGTCTGCCCACCAGCCCCGCCTATCCCTTTCCTGCCCTGGCTATTGGCCTTTCAGCTTTTTTGTTGTTGTTGTTTTGAGACAGGGTTTCTCTGTGTAGCTTTGTAGACCAGGAGGCCTCAAACTCACAAGAGTTCCACCTGCCTCTGTCTCCTGAGCACTGGGAGTAAAGGTGCACACCACGGGCTTGGCTGTTCAGCTTTTTATTAGAGCAATCAGGTGCCTTAGGCAAGGTGAACCAAATGCAACACATCTTTGCATAATTAAACACACATCCTTACACCTTAAACAAATGCAGCATAAATAAATGTAGCAAACTTAAGAAAACCTCTTGTCTCTGCCTCTCAAGTGTTGGCATTAAAGGCATGTGCTACCATCACCTGGCTGTATGTGTGTATAGCTTTTAACTGATGACATCACAGCTAGTCTGGTAGAGATGATATAGCTGCTCACACTTAGTGCTAGTGATAAGAGCTGTGAGGACTGGCCTGGAAGTAACTAGGCAGGCTCCTAGAGGAAGAGTCATTGCCACAGGACAGGACTTTCCCACCTTCTTAGTCACTGCTCCCTTCTCAAGCAGTAGCAGGTGATCTATACTTCCTTCAGAACACTATCACTGCTAGGATTGTTTGTCCTTTTAGAAAATATCCCCTCCCCCCTTCCATATGTAGTATGCACCCTACATATGGAGCATGGAGCTCCCTGCATTTGAAAACTTCAAGTTGGTCCAGCATGGCATAGCAGCTAGTCGAGGGGTTCAGCCAGCCAGTGAGATTTAATTCTATTTGGACTTTCTCCAGACTGAGTCCACAGTGACCGTCAGAGTGCCAGGTCAGACATGACTTGGTGATTGGGAGAGGACCAGTTCTGTAAGCCTAAGAGGCCTGCTGAGACAGAATCACCCAGCCTGATATGTGGGAGCCATGCCTAGGGCTAAGCTTAGCAGCTCTCCGAGTGCTCTTATACTCAAAGCCTTGGCTGGGGACTCAGTGCTGGTGGTTTCTGTTCCCTGAGACAGAGGGTGCTCAGAGCCTGCCAGGTGAGATGAGAACAGAGAAGAGCTTTCCAGGAATGGGAGACAGCAAGTGAGACATCTTAGGGAAAAAGGACAGGATAAGCCTGAATTAGGCCCCAGGCTATGAATACCAGTGCAAGGTGGAAAGGTTTTCTAGGGGTTTGTGACCATGTTTGCATCCTACAGGAGAATGCCAGCTGCTGTGAAAAAAGGGATCTAGGCAGCCATCTGGGTGAAGCTATGCTACCTTGAGAAATGGAAGCCCAGCCGGGCGGTGGTGGCGCACGCCTTTAGTTCCAGCACTCGGGAGGTAGAGGCAGATGGATCTCTGTGAGTTCCAGGCCAGCCTGGTCTACAGAGTTCCAGGATAGCCAGGGCTACACAGAAACTCTTGTGGGGGAGGGAGGGGAGACTGAGAGAAGTGGAAGCCCTGAGGGCAGATGTAGGCAGAAGCATTGAAAAGACTTGGGCTGTGTACATATAACAGAAGGGCATGTAGACTGGGGCACTGTGGAAACTGTCTGGTAGAACTGTAGCCTTTTATTATCAAGGGGCCAGCAAGCCAGTCATGAGAGACAAAGGGCCTGAGAGGCACATTTGTAGTTGTCCTTCACAGCAGGATTGATTCCTGCTACTTATTTTGTAAGCACCCTGTGCATAGCAGCACCACACTAGCTCTGAGACAGGTGTAGACAGAACAGCATACTTTCCTTAACGAGCTCCTTGCAAACGGTAAGGAGGACAGATACATAAGCTCATGAGGACAGGTTTCCTGATGGAGACATTCCTTTCCTGAGCCTGCTAAGGACAACCAGGACACTGGCAGGCAGAGCTTCTTTGGTACATTCTGTGGTGCGGCCAGTTTCTTCAGTGGAAGACCAGCCATATCTCCTGCACAAAAAGACAGGCTGTAACAGCCAAGAAGTCAGGTTGTGGCCAGGATCCAGAATGCTATTGTATACTCAGCTCTGACCTTGGCTTGTCACAGTACTGGCAAGGCTCACCTATCTTCTCACTGTTCTTTAGTCTTTCTTGGTATTGCCTTTTTTGACCTCTGAAGATGTCCTTCCTGTCTTCAACTACTCTGATACACAACTATGCTATGGTGCTGGTCCTGGGTGAGCTACAGAGTGAGCCTGTTTCTCATGCCTCAGTGATGGAGGCAGGTTGGTCAGAAGGCTCTTCAAGAAAGAGAAAAGATCTCAGGCTTGCTATGACTTTAGGGTGGGGAAGAGTCACACAGCCCTTCCTATCCTCTTCCCTACAGGTCTGGCTCCCTGCCATAAAGGCCAAAGGTCTAGAGATCTCTGGCACCTTCACCCGCCAGGTTGGCTCCATCTCCATGGACCTGCAGCTGACTAACAAGGCCCTGCAGGTCATGACAGATTTCGCCATCCAGTTCAATCGCAACAGGTGAGCCCTTGGCCAAACTCAACAGCAGTCACTCTTTTGTCCACTTTGTGGGAGCCAAAGCACCAGACAGAGTGGAGAGGTCTTCTCCCCTAACTTACTCTCCTCCACTGCCCAGAGAAGAGTTTTGTGTCAGAAGTCACAACTCCAAGCCAGCAACCCACCACTGGAAGCACCCTGCATCTCCCACCTGCCTCTCTCCTCCTAGGCCTGAGTCATATTTGTGTTTGGGAGCAGCTCTGAGAGCGTGGGTGGTTAGTAGGCCTGCCAGCCAGCCTCCCCCAAGAACAAAAGATTGATCAAACAAGGAATCTGAGAATGAGTAGTGGGTGCTCCCAGCTCTTTGTTGTCCCCTGTCCCCCATATTTCCTGGACTGTGTTGGTGAGAAAACATACTTGGTAGCACCATGAGCCAGCAAGGCCAGGCTCTCTAGGAACCTTGGTAGCCCCTCTTGATGATTCCTCTTCCTGAGCGGCTCTAGTGATGAGCAAACTGAGCCTCTAAGAAGTTGACTGAAGGGGTGGCTTCCTCAGAAGAGCCTTAGACACACTGGGAAGGCTGAGGCAGCTCTGCCTCTTCCCCTCACGGGACTCAAGAGGCTGTAGGTGCATGACTGCTGATAACAAACCCTCTGCACTGAACACTTCCTGGGTAGCAGATCCTAGGCCAAGGGCTGTAGAGTATTGGTCCAGTAGAGTGGATGTTATCTCCTCCTTATAATGGTAATAACTCCTGTGCTCAGGGAAAGGCCCTGCCCAAGGTCACAGAGCTGACAGTGATGGCACTCCCACACAGCCTGGAGTGCAGAGCCACCATGCAAATCTAGGTTCCCTCTGGATTCTAGGCAAACCTGAGTAGAGAGCATAGTTTCAGTTCTCAGCAGTGCCTGCCATTCATTTAGTAGCTACAAGTTGGGTATGAGCCAGTCCCTCATTTAAGTTGTGTCCTCATCAGGAAGAAGGAATTGTGTACTTCTGGTTTTTATCAGTATAGAAACTAGCATATTTCTGTGTGCTGCCCTGGACGTACTGAGTTCATTCGGTTCAGGCTCTCCTCCATACGACTGTGACTCGCCTTCCAGAAGTTTGTGTCCTACTGAAGCAGCCTTCCCAGTTTACTTACCTAGAAAGAAAGGCAGGACTTTCCTGAACCTGTGGTGTTTGTGTAGCATGGCCAGTTCCAGGCCAGACAGCGAAATCTTGTCTTTGCTGGGGGTGGTCAGATCCCTCTTGAGTTAGGGGTCTAAACACTAAATACCTAGACTGTCAGAGTTTTCCATTGAGAAGCATGAAGTCCAGACCGCTGGTACTGGGTTAGGTCCTAAAGAAAAGGGCAAGGATATGCCGCCTGACCTATCAGGATCCAGCACTAAGATAAACAGCGGCAGAGGTTAGCCTGCCTTAACCAGACTGGAGTGTAGTGCTGGTCTCAGATTCTTGCCTCCTGTCTACATGGCCAGTAGAGCAGGGAAGGTCATGAGTTTGGGAAAAGCTTACTTGATGAAGGAGTTCTTTGTCCATCACCTCTCACCCCACTCCAGAGCACAAAGAGCCAGCCTATCCCATGTCAGTACCCACTCCCCTGGCACCCCTGTGGGGGCTTCTCTCTTTCTTCAGCTTTGGCTTGGCCCCTGCTGCACCACTCCAGGTGCATGCGCCGCTCAGTCCCAACCAGACTGTGGAGCTCTCCCTGCCTCTCAACACAGTGGGCTCAGTCATGAAGATGGAGCCTCTGAACAATCTTCAGGTGTGTCCCCACAGGGCCAGCACCCCATTTCTACTCATGCTCAGTCCTGGGGTGGATGTTAGCCATATCTGTGGAAGGCCTGATAGAGAATTGTGCTCTTGGTTGCACATGGAACCTGGGCAAGGGGACAAAAGGGCATGGCTACAAGGGAGGGTTCTATGAGAAAGCCTGTGGGGTCTCAGAGGTGGTATAAGCCCAAGAATCAGGGTGTCAAGCCTTGGAGACTGACTGGGGACCCCCATGCCTAGGTGGCTGTGAAGAACAACATTGATGTCTTCTACTTCAGCACCTTATACCCACTGCATGTCCTCTTTGTGGAGGATGGGAAGATGGGTGAGTTGTGAAGGGCCCTGGGGATTTGTGCAATGGGACTGAAGCTAGGGAACCTGAGAAGGCTAGTGCTTATAATAAGGATTAACAAGCTTTGCCTTATGATGGGATCTTTGGCAAATCCTAAGGGCCCCATCTCTGGCTTGCAGGTGGCCTATGCCACCTTCCTTGTGAGCCTTGCTGCTCACCCTTCAGCTTGCCCCATGGGCTGCAAAGAACCAGTCACCATACCTGGTGTCCGCCGTCTCCTCAGTACTGGAGTCAGGACCCCAAGAAGGATGCAGGGAAAGCTGGACCTGGGCTGTGTGTGGCATCTCATCATCCTTGCCACAGAGCCATGTCTAAGGAGCAGGCTCCACAGAGGTGGAAGAAGATGAGGTCAGATGTAGGCTAAAGGAGAGGAGAAGCAGGAAGCAGAGGGCACTTAAGAGCAGGCCTGTGTCCTTGTGAGCTGAAGCAGATGGAACTGTGGAAGAGCCAGTGCTTCACTCAGGTGGCACACTGGAGACCAGACCCATTTCCTGCCATGTGATGCTGAGGGGTACAGATTATCAGGGTCCCATCTCTCACCCAATCCTCCTCACCCTGCAGACCGGCAGATGTTCTTGGCCACATGGAAAGACATTCCCAACGAGAATGAAGCCCAGTTCCAGATCAGAGACTGTCCACTCAACACAGGTAAGCCCTGCCCCCAGTGTCCCACTAATTCTCTCCCTGTATCCACCGAATGTGGGCCTCCCATGGCTGTCTGACCCTGCAGAGGCTGCAAGCAACAAGCTGCAGAGCAGTAACATCTTCACTGTGGCCAAGAGGAGCGTGGAGGGCCAGGACATGCTCTACCAGTCTCTGAAGTTGACCAACGGCATCTGGGTACTGGCGGAGCTACGGATCCAGCCAGGCAACCCCAGCTTGACGGTGAGAACCCCTGTTCCCACTCAGGTCTTGACCCTCTACCTCCCTGCCCTGGCGGCACTTCCCCAGTCAGCATTTCTAGTCTGGGCTGTTAAAAAATGGTGATGGGTGTCACTCTGCCACAATCTCTGAGCCTGGTGTGAGAATTGGTTCTTTGAACGTTTAGAAACTTCAGCTCAACCCCCTCAAGTTACCCAGATAAGACACCAAGGGATATAAACACATATACTCAGATAGGGAAATAGTATCACTGGCTACAGGCTTTGGCCCTGCTGCCATATGGGTGCCTGAGTGCCTGGCTAGGGGCACACTGATTCTCAGCAGCTCGTGCCTCTAGACCTTAAATCAGAGCTATCAGAGGACACCTTCAGGGTGGTCTGGATATTCTGTAAACTGCACTGCTGTTCCCAGGCCTAGAGTTCCCAGGCTTTGCTTCCTCCATGCACCCTTGCCTGGTAGGTGTGGCCCTGTAGACACTACCTCCCAATTCTGGTGACCTTGGCGCTGGTGGGTGGGGCTGTGGTGTTAGCTGAGGTGGTGGTAATTTACATCTCCCTGTTTGGTTGCTGCATGTCCACCTTCCCTGCCTTCTGCCATGGCACAGGACTTGGAGGTTAGCAGATTGCTTCTCTCTTCTTCTGCCCCACCTCCATCCTTCCTAGCAGTATTGCGCATGCCTCATCTCCTGGTCTGACCCCAGTGCATTCTGCTTCCCTCTGTAACTTGGCCTTGCTTAAACATGATGCTCCCAAGGCCCAGCAGATGTGCATGGAGGCTACCAACACAAGGGTCTACCTACCACTTCCAAATACATGGTATGTAGAGCCCTTAAAAGGAGGCCTGTGGACCCTTCTGTGGCTACTGCTGCTGAATTCCAGAATTCTACTTGCCACTCCTTCCTAATTGCAGCCTCGGACAGATCTGATGCTCTCAAGTAGAAAGGCACACTGGCTGGCTTCCATCCCCTCTGCTTAGACTCTAGGCTAAGACCTCAGCCAGCACTGAGGTGGTCTTGTGCAAACCTGCTTCCTGCAGGAGCCGGAGCCAGACCTACACACCTTGCAGTCCCCAGCAGAGACCTGCTCCCTCTTAACCCTCTGCCCACCAGGACTGCCTGTCAGAACCGCTCCTGACCTAGACCTGCAGTGGTTGTAGGAGCAAACAGCCCCGAAAGGGGGTGGGGTCTGGGTACTACCAACAGCTCATGAGTCATGCCTCCTGCCAGAGGCTCTGGTGGCAGAACTGACAGCAGGTGTGGGGGCTGCAAGTATATTTGGTTCCCACCCAGCTGACTGTGATGGCCACCCCCTCTGCTTTACCTCACATCTGCCCCACTCTGAGCTGCCATCCTGCCATGTGTGCATGCACATACACTCAAGCTCACTTTTCCATCTGGTGCCCACTCTCTACCATCTAAACTGAAGAGCCCCAGGGATAAGTTCTTTCCCTGCCCTCCTCTTCTCCTGCAGCTGTCCCTGAAGTGTCGAGCACCAGAGGTGTCCCAGCATGTATACCAGGCCTACGAGACAATCCTCAAGAACTGAAGTCCCTCCAGCATCCACCCAGCCTTCTGCCAGCCCTATCATGGAGCCCCTGTGTGTGGCAGTACCTCCTCCTCTATTTGGGGAAAGGCCAGGTGGGCTCCTGACCATCCAGGAGGCTCCCCCATCCTAATTGAGGGCCCAGAGCAGGTCCATGCCCCCTCCTGGAGTGAAATCTCTGTGCATCTCCAGTGGCTGTTTTCCATTGCTGTTGATGCGGGATCAAAAGAAACGGAACCAGCACAGCAGCAGAAGCTGAACAGGAGACCACAGGGTGCTCTTCCTTCTCCCTTTGCCTGGGGGTGAGCATGGAACTCCCCTTGGGGTCCCAGCCCATAATCCTTGCCTTGTCTCCCCACCAAGCCTGTCCTGGGTAGAGTCTGGGTGCCAATATTACTGCTCCATCACAGTCTTGAGACTCTGGGGGCTAGATGTGGTGATGGGCAGAGATGGGCCAGCACCATCCACCCCGTGTACACCAGTTGGTGCTCTGTGACTGCCTGTGTGGTCCAGAGCCATCTGGAATTCTGTCCCCTCATGCCCTGGAGGATGGTCACTGCCTACAAAACATTCCTTGGTGTCCCCTCTGAGGGTCCAGGGCTCTTAGGACAGAAATAGGGTGAAAGGTGGAGCAAGCAGCAGTGGAAATGCTCCCAATATAGGGCTCCTGTGGGTTCTCTAGCATCCGCTGCCCTCTCCTGGCTCCCCAGCCCCAGTGTGTATAACAGTGATAGGTTTTCCCGTCACTGCTGTTTGATAATAAAGAGATTCTGCTTTTGGCAGTCACGCACACTTCTTTCCCTCTACAAAGAAAGACCAGCCTAAGAAATTGCTCCTGGGTGGTTGGGGATAACATCTGACCCCTGCAGTGATTATAGCTAATACGTATAAATAGAAAATATATATTGTATGTTTACTCTTATTTTCAAAAAGAGAAAACGAATAAAAATGATGACATTAAGTGTGTCCCTAGCCAGTGTGTCAGGTCGCAAGGCTGTTCTGGGCAAGGGTCCTGGGCTGAAGCCATATACCTGACTGTGGTCCCTGCCCTGATTCTCCTTCTGTTCATTCATTCAGTGTGTGGCCTACTGTGGCCTGTGGTGTCCCTGCCATCTTCCTGTCGTTGATGCTAAGTCCCGCCTAGCTGATGCTGTGTCCCCTTTGATTCAGGGAAGGGCTTGCAGTCCCACTTGAGTTTCCTCCTCTTTGGTGCTATCTTGGAGCAGTAGGAATGACCAGAGGGGTGGGGGCTGGGCAGTGTTGCATGTCTTTCCCTGGGGAGATGTTATCTGGGGAGAGACTCACCCAAGAAGAGGACTTACAAGAGACCAAAGAAACAATTAGCCCAAGGAACATGTACTCCTTTTTTTTTTTTTTAAAGACTTTATTTATTATGTATACAACATTCTGCTTCCATGTACATCTGCACACTAGAAGAGGGCACCAGATCTTATAATGATGGTTGTGAGCTACCATGTGGTTGCTGGGAATTGAACTCAGGACCTCTGAAAGAGCAGTCGGTGCTCTTAACCACTGAGCCATCTCTCCAGCCCCCATTGTTAACCTCTTTATTACCCTTTGGGAGGGGAGGAGTCTCCTGTTACCTGCTTCCATGAGCTAATGTTGATAGATCCAACTTCCTGATGGTCTTGTGCAATTAATCACAGCTACTCTGGTTTCAGGACAGTAATGGTCAGCCATGTCATGCCTGAACAGGGGTCCACAGTAACCTACTCCTTTCTTCAGCTCTTATTTTTTTCCCCATCCCCTCTTTAGGAATGAACTTTGTGCCAATAGACCAAAGCAGCAGTCATTTATTCTCAGTATTTTAGCCAGTTATGAGTCTGCTGTAAACATTGCCCGTTGCAAAAGAGCAGCTTCCCTGACCAAGGCCTACAGCAGCAATGATTTCAACAGCAATAACATGTCCACTAGGAGCTAAGACTTCACCAGTCACAGACTTTTGTCTTATAGTAAACAAGAGTTCCCTGCTGTGGAGCAGGACTTCAATCCAATTAGAAAGCAATTGGTTGCACTCATAACAATTGTTCCACTATTGTATCACCAAGCACATCTTGTGTGGCAGGCTGATGTCAATGTGCTGCCTGTGTACAAGCTGAGAAGGACCACTTGTAGCAATTGGTGAGAAGTCTGCATAGCACCTGGAGCTATGAAAGCCAGCTAACAGGGAGGAATCTTCCAGGCCAGCCCTTGACAGACTTACCATACCCTGCAACATAGCTTATGGTGTATTCAACAATAAGGACTTACATCTAGTTCTAATGTGCAGTCAATAACAATGGCAGTTACCTTTGTGATTTGTAAGGCATCAGGAATCTCCCTGGCCATCAGCTACTAGAAAAAGAACATCCCTAGGAACTGGGATTTTCATTCAAAAACATTCTGAATATGCCTTTTCCCGCCACACAGTACCTTCATCACTTAAACTCCATAACTCTCTTTGTAGACCAAGCTGGCCTTAAACTCACCTCTGCTTCCCAAGTGCTGGGATTGAAGGTGTGTGCCACCAATGCCCAGCCTTTTTTTACATTTATAGACATAGCCTGTTGTTGGGTTTCAAGAGGACAGCAACCCAGAGAAGAGTTCCACAGCAGCTACCCAACACCAAGACCTGCCATCGACTGAAAACCTCACACTAGCCTGGTTCCCCAGCAATCTCTTCTGGCAGGGTTACAGTCTGGCCCCAGAGGCTTCTGCTTCTAGAAGGTCCTGCTCATGTACCCCATCAACCCTGCCTCCTGTCCACCTCAGACACTGCTGCCTAACTGGCCTAACTGCTGCAAAAAGAGAGCAAGTGCCCCACCACTGCTCCAGCTCAACCTTGTGTGTCAACTGTGCAGCTAGCCAAAACCCTTGATTACACACACCTCATTCTTAATTGAAAGTCTGGGCTTGGAAAGCCCCAGGCCAATGCAACCTGAGTCTCTGACTTGTCAAGTAGAGTAGCTGAGTGTCTGTGCCCTTGAAAAGAAAGACTGTCATCTGTCACCTTCCTCCCCTGACCCAGCTTCCTGAGTGCACTCCTGAGGAACAGCTGCAGAGATCACCACTCCCATAGCCTCGTGGGGCCTTGTAGGCCTCCCTGTCTCCACCCCTTCTTTGCTGAAACCAGGAGAGTATAGAAACAGGATGGCTGTCCCCCATGGAAGGCAATGAGCAATAAAAGAACAAGGACACTTAACCTGGGGAAAGGAAAGCTGATGAAAAAGTTTGGATGGAAGATGAAGAGGTCACCATCCTCACCCTTGGGTCACTCTCCCACTTCAGCCTATGCCTTCATCTCAAGTTTGGGTAGAACCTTACAGTTCTGCCGCATCCACTCACAGACACTCAGTAAAAATGGCCCAGCATGAGGGGAGGAGAGGTAAGAAGGGAGCAGGGAAGGAACACATGGAATATGAAAGTAGATGGAAGGAACACTAGGGTGGCAGGAGAAGCAGGGAATAAGGAAGAAGAGGGAGTGTCTAGAGGGATGACTCAATGGCTAAGAGAACCTACTGCTCTTTCAGAGGACCCAGGTTTGGTTCTTATCACCCACACAGTTGCTCACAACCACCTATAATTCCAGTTCCAGGGGATCCAGTCCCTGCTGACCTCTACAGGCACCTGCAGATAGGTGGTACATGTACACTTATATAGGCACACAAATTTTAAAATAATAAAGAAGAGGGAGGTTAGGGAGAGGGTTACCCAAAACCAAGGATGAATAAGGAAGCCATTTGGAAGATCAGGCAGTGGTGGCACACACCTTTAATCCCAGCACTCAGGAGGCAGAGGCAGGCAGATCTCCGTGAGTTCAAGGGCAGCCTGATCTACAGAGTAAGTTCCAGGACAGTCAGGGCTACACAGAGAAAAAAAAAAAAAAAAAAAGAGGGGGAAGGAGAAGGAGGCACCACCATGTGGAAATTTCTACTACTATATAAGCTAATTTTTTAACTTTTTTTTTTTTTTTTTTTTTTTTTTTTTTTTTTTTTTTTTTTTTTTTTTTTTTTTTTTGCTTTTGGTGGCTCATCTTGGTTGCAGGACAAGAAGTCAAGCTGGAACTGAACTGGAAGCTTCCTCCCTGCTGGCAAATTTTCCCAGTGCCAGAAGGTGTTATACAGGCCACTGGGGGAGAAAAATCATCAGGGGTTACTCATCTGTGAACCCTATGTACTATACTAGTAGTCTGTGAAGTCATGATGGCATGATTGTTACGAAGGTAACCAGCTGATTCCAATTTGAGCTGAGATCTGCTCCGCAGGAGTTTGGACATGGCACTGTGGACTTCAGCCTGTGGTCCTCACATTGCACCTACTGCTTTTGTCTTGCTAAGTGGGAATGTAGTCAAACTAGCTCCTAAAAAGTGGTGTTTGTACCCACAGCCGTGTAGCTTTCTGCCTTATCAGAGAAGCTTCCTTTTACAGCAAATAGCAATTCATGCAGATTCATTGCTGCTCAAGGTGCTGAGAATAACGAGCTGTTAAGTGCTCAGCCCTAAATGGAACATATATATGTTACCCTCTCCAAGACTCAGGGAACATCACAGAAGCAGCAACAGAAAGAATGTAGGAGCTGGATGGTGCTGGCTGGGGAACTAAGAACACTCACTGCTCTTCCAAAGGACTTTAGTTCAGTTTCTAGAACCCCTGTCAAGAGACACAATTATCTCTTACTCCAGCTCCAGAGGGTCTTCTGGACTCCATGAGCACTTGCACTCAAATGCACACACCACATACTAACACATACACACAATCCAAAACAATGACACCAGGCATGGTGGCGCTCACCTTTAATCCCAGCACTCTGGAGGCAGAGGCAGGTGGATCTCTGTGAGTTCAAGGCCAGCCTGGTCTACAGAACGAGTTCTAAGACAGCCAGGGCTACACAGAGAAACCCAGTCTTGCGCAGGGGGGTGGGTATCTAGATGATGATAAGGGCCAGGAAATACTATCTTCTGGGCATGACTTGACTGTTGAAATCATGAACCCACACCCCCCAAGATTGCCTACATGGTGTCCGCACCAGACTGGTCTAACAACATCTGGCCATGAGTGAAGGAGGGGCTCACAGAGCCCTACCCCTCCCTGGGGAACTATTGGCTGTTGATCGGGGAGTGGGAAGCATTATCTTAGCTACTGGTAAGTTTCCCATGCAGGTGGCTGTCCTTAAACTTTGAACCACAAGACAAAAGTCAGAGGATACATGGGGTCAATGTATCAGACTGAATTATATACATGAATGAAACTGTGAACAAATAAAAGAACAGGCGCTGGAGAGATGGCTCAGGGGTTTGGAGCACTTACTGCTCTGCCTGAGGGCCATAGTTTGGTTTGCAGCACCCACATGGCTGCTCACAACTATCAGTAACTCCATCCTGGGGATCTGACCACCTCTTCTGACCTCTACAGCACCACACACAGGTGCTAGGCAAACAGACACAAGCAAAACACCATATGCATACAATTTTTAAAAATAAACAAAAGGGGACTGGAGAAATGGCCTCAGTGGTTAAGAGCACTGGCTGTTCTTCCAGATGACCTGAGTTCAACTCCCAGCAACCACATGGGAGCTTACAACTGCCTATATCTGTAGTTCCAGGAGATCTGATATCCTCACACAGACATACATGCAGGCAAAACACCAATGCATATAAAATAAATAAATTATTAAAAGAAACTCCTTATGCCGGGTGTTGGTGGCGCACGCCTTTAATCCCAGCACTTGGGAGGCAGAGGCAGGCGGGTCTCTGTGAGTTCGAGCTCAGCCTGGTCTCCAGAGCGAGTGCCAGGATAGGTTTCAAAGCTACACAGAGAAACCCTGTCTCAAAAAACCAAAAAAATAAATAAATAAAATAAAAGAAACTCCTTGATCAAAAAAAAAAAATAAATGAAATAAACAAAAAACTAGGCACTGGTAACACATACCTTTAATTCCAGCACTCAGGAGGCAGAGAGGCTG